TTAGCTTGTTCTAAATTACAAACCTGCTGTGGAGTGTTTCCTTTTCTCTGACACCTTGTTTAGTGTTAATCAGGATTTATACATTTGGGTTAATTTATGCTGTAGATCATCCACTGTATGGTAAAGCCCTCTGAAAAAGCTATGCTGTAACATCACTTCCACTAGAACTGCAACCACACATCATGCTGATGCAGCGTTTTAGTGACTAGCTCAATTTCTCCTACATATTTTCAGCTACCTCTGTCATCATTGTCCAAATCAATTCAAAGAGAGAAACCTTCTGCCAACCATTCTTTGGGTGATGATGGTTTTGGACACTAGGATAGACTACCATGCAGACTCGACATAGATTCAAAGTATAAATAAGTATAAATAAAAGTAGAAATTAAGACTTCATGTCCTTGTTTTACTTTGATAGTCAGTTTTCTCTCTTGTGTTGTGTTAGTTTGATTTTCCTTTCTTTTGCCCTCCTTTATTATTATCTGCCCCGCCCTGCTTGTTTTCACTGGTGTTCAGCTTGTTTTTGTGTAATTAGTCCCCTGTCTTATCTGTCTTTAAGTTTGTCTTTGTTGGACGGTCTGCTCAGGCTCACTTTCTCCTGCCCAAGCTCTGTTGGGTTATTGTTTTGTGGGTATTTTTAGCCAGATACTGGCTCACCCTTGTTTTTCTGCCTTTGTGTCCTCTCTCTATACTACACACACCCTGAAATGTGTTAAGAAACATTGTGTTGACATTTATTAAACAAGAATGACTACCAGTCAAAGCTTTCTGCTGGACAGGTGTTGTATTAAACCTCATGAAACGTTTAACAATATGCAATGAGATTGGGCACATGCACAAAGTCAGCAGATGATGTAGGACAGACATTAAAGCCAAAGGCTGAATGAGGCACCTTGACTCATAGAATCTGCCTAATGTGCCCACTGAGCACGTGTGTTAACCCAGTTCTTGTGCGGGTTTAATCTAGGTCATTACACATTTCACCCACAAACGGCTGGCTGCGTTATTATTCATTCAACGATGATAAACGCCAGAAGAGCACAAAAATAAATAATGATATATGCTACCAACGTGATTCCAAACTCTTTGGTGGTACGTTTTTTAAATTTACCTTTGGTCCCCACCAGGTTAGCCCGACGTGCAGAGCGTAGTCGCAGCACGCCTTGGCATCGGCCAGAGCCCTGCACTTCTCGTAGGCGTCCAGCAGGGAGCAGTGTTGTTCAGGCAGAACCAGACCCATCACCATGGTGGTACCACCCATCAGAGCCGCCTGGGTGAGGTAAGAGGGTGACCAGGGGTGACAGAGAGGGGGGCAGAATAAGAGAAAAGAAAGACTGATTAGAAAGAGGACAATAACACCAATGTCCAGCACAGACTCTGTTTGTCTGGTGATAATAGTCCTTCCTTATCAACTGTTCATCATATGCTCTGCTCTTTATTGATTGCACTGACTCTCTTGTAGCCACTGCTTCATTTTCCTTTCAGTGTTGTTCTCAGTCTAAATGCCCTTATTTAGTACTGTAATCACTGGTTTGTCCTCTCTATAGAAATATCTCAGCCTGACACAGAAAGAGAGATAAGGCTTTTTAAAATAACTTTAATTTTTTTAATACTTGCGCGTACAAACATGGGTGCTGTATAAATATACAGAACTTGTAAGTTCTGTATATTCAGCAGGTACATGAAAACATTACTCAACTTGTAAGTCAAACAAAACAGATTCAATGAAGGGAAGCTGACGTTAATACAACAAGAATGTAAAAGAGATGCAAAAATGCGAAAGGCAAAATGAAAAAGGTAAATAATACATAAATAATAAAAAAATAAAAGCAATCATAGCAGTATGGGTGGATGGATGAACTGTTTTACAGAAATCAGTGAGTCTCCTTCTCAGGCAGGATGTTCTAAAGTTGACGGGCCCTCGCCGCAAAAACACGCTCACCTTTATATTTAAGTCTAGATTTTGAGGCAGCCAGAAGAGCTTTACCTGAAGAGCTGTAAACTGGTTCATATGAGGTCAATGTTCCCAGTGTTCACTGATTTGATGTGACAGTGTCTGCTAAAACCAGTCAGAATCTCAGCTGCTCCAGTTTAAAGTACACGGAGGGGAGAGCGTGACTTCGCATTCATGCCAGTGAGGAGGGAGTTGTGGAAGTCAAGTGTTTTTTCCTTCCTAGAGTGTGACAACCTTGGTTTCATTAAGTTTTGACAAAAGGCTTCACATTACTGTAGCTATACGTGTGAACGTCTTAATATTTCACAACCTCAAAAACTACAAACGTAAGCTTTCTGAATATGGCTCCTGCTGCTGTATGTGGCTCCCTCACTTCTACTCCACTGGAAACAGAGAACTGGAGAAGATGAGAGATGAAATTACTAATGAAGGAGAGGAGTGGGCGAGAGGAAGCAAAGTTACAGATGGGGGAAAAAGAGAGGATGAGGAAACAACCATAGACTAGAAGAAGTGAAGGAAGCTGTGTGCAGTGACTCATCTTCCTCGCTACAATGGTGAATGCACTTTTGTGTCACCATGACAACAGATACTGCTCAGCCATGCCTGTCGCACGTCCCCACCCTCTTCCTCCTCCTCCTGTCCTCCTCTCTCCATCCAAAATTGCGCAAACATTAACCTATCCAATATCCTCTAACAGGAATATCACACCGAGGCATGATGGGAGAACGTCTGTAATCGCATATAAAACAGGAAATGAAGAGGTGGGGTGTGAAACAGCTGTAATCTGCTCTTTAGTCATCATCGACAATCAAAGTGACGTTAAACCGCCATCATTTTTGCAGCCTAACCTCAATAAAATGTGACTACATGAGAACGTTTCTGTGACAGCGTGGAGCCGTTGCCTCGGGCACCAGACGTGTCTCACAGACGGGGGGCGGGGTCACCTGCTTGTGAGCGTAAGCTCAGTCTGCCAGTAAGCTATCAGATTTCTCATTACCATAGAAACCAGTCCGAGTGATGTGCAATGTCAGCATCGAAGGTCTCAGCATATGTGTGCATGAAGAGTGTATGTCATTGATCACTGTCACTACATGTAACTGTGTGCATGTGAGCGTGTGTGTGTGTGAGAGAGAGAAAGTGGGGGCACAGATGCACAGCTGGGGATTGTGGGATTTAGGCTGTCTGTCTGCTTGGCCTCAATTAAGATTTACTGTCGGCCCCCTTCTTTAAAAATCCCAGAGGGCAGAGCGGAGAAAACAAGCGAGCAAACAGGAGGTAAAGGGAAAAAGAAATCCTTGATCACTGCATCTTTACCGATCCATGATACGCACACGATAGTATGAGCTAACATTGCTATAATCGAAGTGAGATGATTCAGGGGCAGTTTGAGACTTTTCTGTCAAACTGGAATAAAGGAGCTGTCTGAGAATTGAGATGTTTTTCACGCTGTTTTCAAGCAACATTTGCAACTACAAACACTCGAAACAACATCCAATTTTAGCTTGTTCTAAATTACAAACCTGCTGTGGAGATTTAAGAAGCACAGCATCACTTGCTCACTGCAGACAGCACAGAGCATATCTGCTGGCAACAGCAACAATACCAGCCGGTTGCTTTTTAAGCCCAGGATAGTTGTGCATCCTTTTGCAAGCTTTCAGATGTTTCACAACAAAATGAGTCTTCCCTCCAGTGACATCATTACACAGGCTTTGTGAATGTGTCCACATAACTTAAGTAGAAGATTTTTAGATCATAAATTCCTAAAGATACCAGAATATCAGGTCAAATCAACACACAGTGCGCACTGATTATTTAACATGTGGTTAAGAGCAGTGATATAACCATGTGGATTGTTTTTCAACTCTTTAATTTAAACATACCAAAACATAAACAGTGATGGAAAAAGACAGTGTGTTCAGCCAACACACACACACTTACTCTTTAAGTGTAAAGTACTTTGTGCTACATTTTTGTATGAAAAGTGCTTTATAAATAAAGATTGATTGATTGAGATTGAACCAACATCGTTTAATCTTAGTGGATTTGACCTAAAAGCTCTTTTTGTCAACCCAACATACTGACACATAAACCACAAGCGGTGCTTAATATGAATCTCCTGCTCCATTAAAGACCCCTAACCCCTACTGTGAAGATAATCCCCTGCATAGAAAGTAAAAAAGATGGCGAGAGGGCGGCAGGCATGAAGGAAAGAGTAAAAGAAGTTGAAACCCAGTAGAAGAACATCTATAGACTAATAAAGATCAATAACAATATGGACTGTCCTGAAAAATTCCATACTTTTGGGATTTTAAACTGTAAACTGCAAAGCTGGATTGTTTTAACAGATCACCAAGAGAAAGTTACATCTAATAATAACAGTTCAAATGTATTTATTAACTGTTGATTGATTCTGAAACCACACCGAACACAATCATTTAAAAATAGCATTAGTTGTGAAGATTTTAATGTATAAAAGAAAGAGTTAACTTTTCCTCTAAGAAGAACCAACGAGCACACAGAAATCCTGTCACATGAGTGCCTGAAGCTTCCTTTACATATGAAAGCGACTGTGAGGGGGTGAGAGGGTCTCTGTGTCAGACTCTGGGAGAGGCTATCAGTGTGAGACAGATTACTGCTCCAGTCCTCTGATCAGCCTCTATCAGCTCCACTCGTACTTCTTATTGCAGCCGAGCACCTCACCTTCTTCCTCTACCCTCCTCCTCCTTCTCTTCATTGCTACAGTTCAGCCTGCTGAGACATTGAAATGATCTCAGCCAGGCCTGCTGTGATAGATACAGCTCAGGCAACATTTCAGGCTTTATGCAAAAAAAAAAGAAAAAAAAAGCAGATCTGCTTAGCTGGATGTGATTGATCAGTGTTACACTGTAAAGACTGACTGTGGATAACAGTGAGAGCAGATCACACACTTTATTCTGTTAGTATTTAATAACAGAGACACAGCTGTGCTTTTCGATTGTAGTTTATATCGCCTGGAAGTCTTTTTTAGCTGTTCAAACCCATCACCTGTCAGGCAGTGTGATGCCCCTGAGGCCGAAACATTTTTATTTTAACTTTAAAGAGTTTACGGTTTTTAATATCGCATCTACATATGTGGGGCAGTGGTTAGCATCGCCCCCTGCTGGTTATCACTGGCTTCCCTTTACATACCTTGGAGCTACGTCTATCTTTTATATACAGTCCACGGCAGACACAGAAAGAAGGTTCTGATGATGGACTGGCTACATGTCTGGTGACCTTCACCTGGATAAGCAGCTAAGAATGGCTGAGAAGACTTCAGCATGATGTCAAAGAAGCTAAAACATCAGTTCCAGATCATTTCTATCCGGGCAGCACGTTCTTCCTCTTGACCTTCCACCATTACAGCGTGTTATATAAATCGGGGTGAAGCAGAGGAACAGGAGGAGGCACCAGAGGAGGAAGGAAGTAAAACAGAAGAGGGAGCAGACAGTTACAAAACAGAGGGAGAGAGGGATGCAGAGGGGGAAATAGTTTAGAGGTTCATCACAATTACACGAGCAGTTGCTGCGGTAACACAGTCACCATAGGAACCATACAATGCTACCACGGTCATGTGTGCACATACTCTCTCACACACACAGAAATTTCCATGCTAAGAGTGCGGGTTAGTTGTCATGGCAGCGACGGCAGCGGTGGGGGCTGGGGGAGAACTGGCACCAGTTTGTCCCAGTCTTCAGCCTCATTTCTCTCCTCTTACAGCACAGCAAAGTCACCGCCGCTATGATGTGCACCATAATTTCCAAACATGCCGGCAAGGCTGCAAGGAGAAAAGATACTAAAGTGCTGCTGACGATCTCCCCCAGACAATCACTTGCTCGTCAGCAGCTACACTGAGCAGAAAGACCAGCTGGGCGGGCAGGGTGGAGGGAATAGCATTAATATAAAACATTTTTAGGCCTCGTCCCCAAATACTGACACGGTGCCCCGTATTTTGATTGATTCTAATCAACACTGTGGGACAGAGACTTTGCTGAAGTCTGTCTTTTATCTAATGGCAGTAAAAAAGGAAAAGAAAAGCTGTCATTGTGGGTCACCTGCAGGTTAACGTCACCACTTTTCCTGTACCTTTGCTACGCCTAACAGGAGAAATTTCAAAGCAACATAAAGTCACAAATTATGGAGATTTCAGCTATTGAGGAACAAACACAAAGAAGCTACAATAAAGAGTGGAAAACTAGTTAAACAAAATACCTGCTCCTTTAGCTCATTTAGCTTATTGTGTCCTTATTGTTCCTAAAGTCATAGAAGTGGTAATAATACATTAACAGCAATAATAGCAATTAACTAAATTGATATTTTTGGATGTATTTATTTGTTAGATTATATTTTAAGTTAGTGAAGGTGTCGATTCTCATGTTACATAAAAAAATAAATTGAGGAATAAACAGAAGTACCTGAAGTAGGGTGACTTGAAACTAAACTAAATATGGACCAGCTTTGCTAATTTGCTAAGCAAGTCTAGATGGTGATATGTCTGACTTAAAACATGAACACAAACTGTGCTGGTTAGAGGTTTAGTATTGAGTGTCTCTCTTTTTCCTTCTGTTAGAGTCACTGGAAGTTCATCTCTTCACATGTGAGACTCACAGTTGTGCAGCAATAACGTTAATAACTGATGCATAAAGCCCGAGTGAGAAACAAAAAGACAAAGATAGAGCGCGACCTTTCCAGTCACTAGACCATAGTTTTTAGTTTTGTCAAAAATGATTGCACTAACACAAAGAAAAGCTGTTGGCCCCAGAGGCGTGAAAAACCTCCAAACTGCTGACCCTTTGCAACTTCCTCGGTGCTACGTTAGCTCTGCTGCTATCGGCTGGGTCACTGCTGCTGGCGTATGAATGAGTGAGCAAAGAACAACACAGATTTATTAAAATAGATCAGCCCACAGTCAGTGACACCTGGCGCAGTCCTAAATAATCCCAGTGGGCCGTAAGTTCCGATTTCAGATCTAAATTCTCTGTTTCAGACAGTTTTTTCTACTCTTTGCTCTGTATGATGTAAATGTATCCTTAATATGGTCTCAGCCACAGTTCTGGTCTACTGTTCCAAGCTTTTGTTTAAGGGAGAGCCAATCAGAAGCAGGGCAAAGGAGATTGTTTCAGGCAGAAGGGTTCAACAAAGGCCCAGTGAAAGACACATTTGTATTTATCCATTTGTACATACGATCATTTTGAACTGTGAATCATGCAAATGTACACTAGCAGAGCCAAATAACAAAAAATAAACTCATCATCTTCTGGGGACTCCACGTTACATTTATCATGTAATATATTATTAGATGTGTCTGATGAAGCAATCACCTACAACAACACACACATATACTTTGACTTTTGCTGATACTGTACTGTTGGCGTCCACAGCTGACGCCCTTGACTAAAACTGTCAGGCACGCCAGGCAGCATCTAAACAGACAAGCTGAGAACATCCTCCAACACATGCATACCACTGCAGGCAACAATAACACCTCTTAACCTCTTAATTATGAAATCATCCTCGCTGCTCGGGCTCTCAGTGGAAAACATGCAGGACATTCATAGGAAATTAACAAATACACCCAGAACAGATGAAAACTAAACAGCTGTGTGAATGTGTGTCTAAAAAAGATAAGTCTCTGCTTTCAACCAGAAACTGCTGACCGGTGTTTGCTTCCTGGAAGACCAATGTGAGAAAACATGTGGTCATTAGTCCTGATGAAGCTAAAAGCAGGGCTCAATATTTTGCTGCAGACACGTCAGAGAGAGTCACAGAGAAAGAATGACAGCTGTCTGCAGACTTGAAATGTGTTTAATCACAGGCATGCTGACGAGCCTGCTCACAGCAAAGCCCTGTGTGTGAGTGTGTTTGAGCAGTGTGTACCTTGGTCCCACTGTAGAAGTCGTCCTGGATGGTGGCGTTCATGAAGGTCTCCTGCAGATGCACACTCGTGTCAATTCCGCCCGGTAACACCAGCTTTCCAGAGGCATCTATCACCTTAGCCCCGCCTGGTATCATCAGCTCCTTTCCAACCTGCCACAGAAAACACAAACACACAAATTACAGTACTTTATTTTCACATTATTATCACTTTATTTTATTAAAGGCCCAACTACACAGTAATAATTTCTAGCTGAAACTGGTCACCAAGATGTAAACTACTGTGCAAAAGCCTAGAATCACCCAAATTTCTTTTTATTTTGCTTCCGAAAAGGCCAGACTTTTTTAAGTAGGTTTTCTGAAGCACTGGTTCTTTTATAGTGCTTTTGAGCTACTATTACTCTATGTCTAAAATCCTTTGATCATACACTCCAATGAACACATCAGAAGCAACTCGGGGTTTAGTTTCTTGCTTGCTTTAGCATGCAGACCAGAGCAGCCAATGATCAAAACACCAACCTTCCGATTAGCAGATGACCTGCTCAACCTCCTGAGCCACAGTCAACCTTTCTAAGTGTTTCTTTGGACATTATCTGCGTTTTCACTAACCTTCAGGCTAGTCTTGTGCCTAACCATTTTCAGAAGAATATTTTTCTTTTGTTTTTCTTGTTAAGGAGTGTAAGGCTCATTTATGCTTGCCATATTAGTCACTTTGCACACAAACAGTCACAGACGGGACCACATCGGCGCTGGACAGGACGAGAAGAAGTGAAAACCAGGAAGCAAAGAAATCACGCAGCTTGTGCCAGGGAATGTGACTTCACTTTAGCTGTACAGTACAGTTCGTGTGAGAACGGCGACCATAAAAGGGCCATAAATGACGAGTGTTTGCAGAGAAAGTCTTCCATGCAGACTGCAACTGTGGCAATCTACTGGTGAGGAAAGCAATCACAAGGAGGTTTTCATTACATCACTCTATACCTCTTTACAATTAGTTTCACCTAGCAACCTTCAGCAGCCAATTGCCATCACCCCGGTAGGGGGATACATATTTTTTAATTTCAACCTGCGATTACCACCAAACTCTGGGCCTATGTCAGGCCAACATGTACGGAAACAAACATTTACTTTTAATACAATCCATTAATTATTGTTTAATACATTAAATTTAAGGTTATTCAAGGTTCTTTGTCTTAGGGGTTTTGTTTGGTATATTAAACCAAACTAATTTTAGATTTATATTTTTTAGGTAATCAGGTGCAGAATTAGATGTGCTGCTGAGGGTGTTTTTAATTACTGTGGTCCTGTTCTTTGGAACAAGCTGCCTGCTGAATTGAGGTCATTTATAACTGTGTGAAATGTGATATATAAATGAAATTGACATTGACTTTATAGCTCTAAGCATGAAAGTGTCATCTATGGCTTGTTAGCCAATCTGACATTTTCATCCACACTGAAATACATACATTCACAGTCCATAGAGAAGGACTATTAATTACTTTGGTAACTGTTTTTGTGATAATGCTGACAATTAAACAGGCTGACATGAACATTAGTACACCTGGTAATAGTTTCTTCTTACCAGAGGAGCTGTGCATATTTGCAGTTTAACTCAACTTCTAGGTGGTTTTCTTCTGATTGGCACAAACTCACAAAAAGGTCTCACAGCTTGAGATGTTCCCCTTTTGTATGACAGCTTAGATCAGTCTGCATGCTTACACACGCTGACCTCACTATTCAAAACTTTGCCCATTTTTAATATTAGAACTGTTAGCGTAAAATGTTACTCTTTGGGACTGAGAACGTGTTGGTTACAGTATAACTCGCTCAGCTTCGACACTTTAAATACTGCAATAAAATAACTTGTTGTCTGTGGTGATGGAAGTAAGCACTGACAGAGAGTGTGTAAATGCTCAACAGCTGCAGCAACACTGGAACGTTTCAGTACAGCTGATTCAAAGGCGTCCACGCCACATAAACCGATGCTTATCTCCATGACAACACTGTGTGAGATAATTATAGTACCATGGTTTGGAGCCACAGAGTTGACCGAGTGGTTCTCTTCATGCTATTACTGTGAAATGAGTCATGCTAACAGCTGGAGATATACTGGACAGTGAAAGTGTGAAAGCGATGAAAAGTTTTTACTGTATGACACGTGGAAAAATGTGCTTGCAAGTAAAAATATATTTGCACATGTGCACATTTAAGATGTGTACATAACAGTGATTTACCTGCTGTATGATGCCGTTCTCGATGTAGACATCTGCTTCCTGGGTGAAGTCATCATTAACCACCTTTCCCCCCTTGATGAGGATACGCATGGACCCCATGTTAGCAGCCATAGTCCTACAAGATAAAAAGGTATTCAAGTAAATTCAAGTACACGATATTTAGCATGTTAACAACGTTGCGCAATGCCAGTCCTTACCATAAGGTGGTGCAGTGAGTAATGTTTGTTTTGTATTTAACCAAACAAACCTCAAGGAAATATGAGTGGGACTAAAAATAAATATCAGAAGTAAAACAGAAGCTCAGATCTAAAATATCTAAACACACTCACCAGTCGAGTGCTACCTTTTGGTGGTAACAGTTGAAATTAAATTCTGCAGTGCAAAATTAATTGTTCTAAATAGAAAAAGTTGCTTGATTTGAACAAAACTAACTGAAATCTTGCAGCGCTCAGCTGGAACTACTGCTTTTATCCAGTGTTTAATTTGCTTTACACAGCAATACTTAAACCCTGGCATTGTACTGGTCTACTCAACTTCAGGAATCCAGTGTGGAGTCCTTCTGCAACCAACCGCTACTCGTAAAACCAAAGTCAACAAATTAAAGTTTGTGTTCTGTATTTTGTGCTGAGTTACACGTTACAGTTTCTGGGAAGCATTTCCTCCAGTCTTTAAAGTGTGTCAGCTCAGTCTATAAAATATTTAGGAGTGGATCTATAATTTATAAATCTATTACAGTATCTGCAGGAATAACAGATTATCAGCACTTTGCAAGGACAGATGGAAAGCAGATGTTTCTTCAAGGATCTTCAAGGATCAGGAACTAACAACTAACAACAGGTAGAGAAAAACAGGTCTGTTACTATTACAATTTATTATGATTTATAACAATTTATTCATAGTATGAGACCTTCATAGTACAGTAGTTAATAAAATGAAGGTATTAGTATTTCAGGAAATCTTTAAACACATTTTTCACTATTTTCTGATGTTGCATTGTTGCATTATAAAAGGAAATGAGTATATTAATCGGTAATTTTCCCTTTACAGCAAAGTGAATTTTAATGATCCAGACTTGTGGTTAGCAGACATGTAACTCACCTAATTTCAGGCATTTGTGCTGTATGAGCAGTTTACAAAATGAATGCCCGGTGGTCCTTGTGTGCATAATGATTACTTGTGGCTATGATAATTTCTAGGTTGTGTTACATTACACAGACCCAGTACAACCAGTTTGTGTTTTTCAGAATCCTATTCATGGTAGGATCCTGGTGTTTCCTTTCCAAGTCTTTTCCAGTTACAGCAGTAAAGTTGATCCTCTGTGAGGTTTTAAAGTGTCTTTTTATTTACTTATCTTTTGATTGATTTATTTTATATTAGTTAAGTGAGGGAAATGGAAAGCAGTGTGGAGTTCTTTATCACCATAGAAAAATATATAATGCATGTTCTTTAAAATTACTGGCTTTGGCTTTATTGTAACTTTCCCCTTGTAATCACCACATTGTAATTTTCTGCAATGAGCCATGGCTAACAAACCAAGGCTATGGCTGAACAGACCCAAAATTACCTCCTATATCTTTTCCTAACCACTTTTCCTTGATTTCAATGGAAAACGTCACAGGGAGGATGGGAAAGATATTAAGAAGGAAAAGACAAACACAGCGCTCAGAGGATCGAACTTCCACTTGGCTCAAATTACTGAGCCAAGTGGAAGCGCAGTTGTGGTGAAACTATGATGTGCTGAAGATGGACTACAAACAAATCCTAATGTTCTTATGACCATGTGTACCCCTGGGTTTAAAAACTGTTGAAGCTTCAAAACATATCAGCAGGTTATACTGAATATTACATGTTCTGCACCCGCGGTCCACGAAACCTTTTTGCGCCACGGACCGGTTTATGTCCAACAATATTTTCACGGACAGGCCTTTAAGGTGTTGCGGATAAATACAACAAAATAAAACCACTACCGGTACCAAAAAACAGAAGATATATTCATAACACACAGGAAAAGACCCAGGGAAACCGGGTTATAATAAAAACGATTAAAAAAAAAAAAAAAAGATAAAAACCAATAAAAACCCTGAAAACCATAAATTTCACACCTGAGCCTCAACTCTCGTGGCCCAGTACCAAACGACTCACAAACCAGTACCGGTCCGTGGCCCGGTGGTTGGGGACCGCTGTTTCAACACCACCTGCCAGTCATTTTGATTGCTTGTCTTTTTGACAACTGACTGAAATTTACTGCCGCAGAAGCCCTAAAGCAACACTTGATGCCCAATATTGATGAAGATTTCTCAGATGAACTCTTTTCTATATAGAAAATGAAGATATATAATAATATATTACACCACTCAGTAATTCTAATCATTAAAATTGCCTCTCCTCCAAACTACACCAAATCTGACCTTTTCTGAATTAAATTACACATATTTAAAGCACAGGGGAGATTGTTTCTTTGAGCCTAAAAAATTGAAACACTGGCGTCATCATCACCACCAACATTTTTAAAACCATGTTATATTCTTTGGCCTTTAACCTGACTTGGTTTTATATCCGCTTTCTACAAATAACAACTTATTTGTTTATTTTGTTTTAAATATATTTTTCCCCTTTGCAACACTCACTACATATTTAAAATTTCACTGCACATCAAAACAGTGTGGTTAACTATTAGCTTTTGCAATCTGTGGTCCACTATGTTCTTCAGATGATCACTGAAATAAAAAATAACCAATTAAAAAACCTAATAGGATCAACAAACTGAGAGGTTCTCCAATAAGCATGTCTTTGTGTGTATGTGTGTATTCTGCATGGGTGGCTGTATGCAATGTGTTTGATGGCCAGACACAATAGAGCCCCAGTCACACAGAATCAACTCAAAGAGATGGAGGAGAATAGAGAGAGGAAGGAGAGAGGGGAGAAGAGGGGAAGGAAGAGAACAGTGAACAGAATAATGAGGAGAGAAATTTGTACCCCCACTGGATGAGGAGAAATTTGGCCCAATGGGAAAGAGAAATGGCTTTGGTTTTGCCAGCTTGCTAATAATGAAGCCCGGGGGTAACAAGAAGCTTTAAACACAGATTTAAGGAAAGTTTCTGAAATATATTGTTGTTTCTATGAAAAATATTCATTCATACTGTCTGGCTTTACTGTAGGAGCGCTGAGCAGAAATCATCTGGGATCAGATCCTAGTCCAGTTGAGTACAGAGAAGATGGAGTCCAAAACAAATAAAAGAAACTAGAGATTTACAACAATGGCCAAAGAAAGTGAAAAAGAGTAGAAGTAGCTTATTGTGCTGAGATGAAAGATAAAGTGGTAAACACGATGGTGGAGCGCTGTGCGGTATGGAAAGCAGTGCCCTAAAGGCCTGGCAGCCTGATTAAAAGAGTGGTTTCCCGGGAGACGGGAACTGGAGATCCTTCAGCGGAAAAAAGGCGTCCATACACACACACACACACGGTATGGTGAGGCATACTAAAGCACCAAGACTGATTTATCATTTGAATTCCACTTGGTACAAAGTCAACACTCACATACACGCATACTTTGCAGTATTTCACACAGAAACTTTACGTCTGCCTCGTGTTTTATCATAGTTTTTTCATTCAAGATTTTAGCTACTAAATGGTTCTTGGCCCCTTTTTTACTACAGAGCTGTCCTATTGTGTAATATGTATAGACTGGAGTTTGGCACTGGCTTGTTAAGTCTGGCATCATTAGCCATCCTTTAGTGAGGCAGCGCTGGTTCGAATAAAGTACTAATATGATCAATGTGGCTGTCAGAGTGTTACAAGGAAGCTGAACATTCAGGAATTAATGAAAAACTGGATTTAGAAATTCATTAGGCTAGATGACATCTAAAGATGATACACCATTTATACCTGACTGAAGTGTTTCTAAAAAACTAAAGTAAACCCCACTGCAGTAACTCTGGACATTAACAAAGACAGGAAACGACACATTTGGAAGGTTAATGAAGTTGGACTAGTCGAAATATGATTAGCTACCTGGTGCTAAAGGTGCTACAAAGCCATGATTAGGCCAATGTACATACATTAGCACACATTAAGGAAGATGTAGGATGAGTTCATGCTGAGGGTCCCAGAGAAACAGAGACACCAAAAACAGATCAAACTTCAGCCACAACAATGTCTGAGATGACCCCATCACAATACGAACGCACCATTAATATGTTGTTACAGGGTTTGGATTATTAGCTATGGCAATGTCTTGATCCTAAGTTTACAATCCACACTGAATCTTAGTCGGCCTAGGTGACTCTTATATGAAGTGTTAACTGTATCATATTTTATTTAGAAAAACATAAAGACATGTTACACTTAAATACTTAAATACTGCTAATAAAAACAGAGCCAGACCCAACACAGGAGACTCTTGGATCCGGAAACAGTGTTTTATGTGACGTCATCAAACAAATTCTTTGAATCTTCAATAATATTTTCAAGTATTATGTTACTTTTCACTGAGAGGTGAAAAGTAACATAATAGATGATTCACAGATGCTTCAGTTCTTTTTTTTAATTTAGATTTTAGACAGTGTCCCATCTTTTTTGGAAAGGACAAACCATCAAAACACCAGTCACTATTTTCTAGTCAGCTCAGTCCAAACCCACACAGACTGCAGACTCTGTGGGACTGGGAACGCTGACTTCTGCATCGGACACTGGAGGCTTTGTGTGTTTGTAGGAATATAAGGACAAAGGAAATTAAACTTCCAAAAATGAAAACAACGCCTTTAATTAATCACAAATGGGCACAGTAAGTTCACCACAAGTTCAAGGAATGGAGTATATATAAAAAAATACTGGCTGTCTGCTTTATCTGACCTGTAACAGAGTTGACGAACCCTACTTTAGCTGCAACCCTAACTGACAATAGCTTACTTTACTATATTAATACAGTTCTGCCATATTCCTGCCATATAGTTCAAACGGTGGCTTCAAAAAGTGTTACTTTGACTAAAAAGCTAAAAGCTCAGCTGAAATATAAACATTCAATTCTTAAAACTAAGAAAAAAAATATTTATATATGTGTAATTTTGTTAATTGGTCCTGAGTGCCCACTTTACTTCATGGCTTTGTTATTTTTAT